CCCTTTCTCTTAAAGATGGACCACTTCAATCCATACACTGTAGCCCTGGGATCCACTAAAAACTTGTGAGATTGGCCATTGAGGAACTGAACAGTGATGGTGATGAAGTTTTTCTCTGGAGTCGCGGTGGAACTGGCTTCATTGATTGGTATAACTAGTCCAGAGTCAGGCTCTGGTCTGGTTTCAACGATCACATTCTGGCTCATCACCTGGTATGTTAATGGCTTTGGGTCCTTTAGTGTCTTGTACAGTGGATCATCTTTAGTAATGACTTTACTCCCTGGTATTAGACTGGTTAATGCAGCTGCTACTAACTGTAGGTGAGCACTGGAAGAAGAAGAAGCTACTGCCATTGGTTTGTCTTGCTGTATTGAGATATATTTGATGAGAACTTATAGTCTTGTAACCAGGGGATGTATTATACCATAGATAAGGGGTGGAGAGTATGATGATAATCTGGGCAGACCATTATTAAACTATTGGATATAAGTTTACACAGTGAAACCGCATCATGATTTTAGCATGAGATATGAATATGTTTAAAGTTGATATTGAATTTCACTCTTAGTTTATTGAATTGATACTCTGCTCCTGCTCTTAACTCATGACTAAGATTAACTCTGTACTGTATTATAATATCTAATCATCTATCCACCATATAGCACTTCTGTTGCTCAGCCATTATCAATTTTAATTTCTGAACTAGAATAAAAGGGTTTTCCATTAAGATTTCTTCTCTAATATAATGCAACTACAGTAATTTTTTATATAAAGCAAAAAGCAAAATTAAGTGTTGTATAAACAGCCTATTAATCAGCTATAGAACCTAATAATGTTAAGAAGCATAATTTAAAAGTTCAGTACTACTGGCTTGATTAACAACTTCTCTAATACATATCCCGTATGCACGTAAGTCATCATTTGATGGTGTCACGTAATACTCTGCTCCAGCATATGTCTCTTCCTTTGGTATTATGGTAGTGTGTCCAGGACTGAGATTAACTCGATTTTGCATGACAGCTTGATATATTTTGTCTTCAAAGGGAAATGAAGCTGCATACATCTCGTCAGCAGCAACGTTAATATCAGGAGTGGAGTAATGGCCTTTGCCATGAAGATCTCTAAATAACTTTTTCTCATCATATCCTTCTTTTGTGATACCTTCTGCTCCACTCTTTCTTGTTCCGTGATAAGACACTGGCCATTCACCAGGTAGACCTGAACTTCCCAGCCATCTATCATCTTCATACTGCCCACTGACTTTAAGAGCTATTCTATCCCAGCCACATGGACGCTTGTAGATATGACCACCTCGTTCATAAACTGTGCCGGTATCATCAACGTGTGTGAAATCAAAATCATAAACTGGATCCAATAAATCATGATCAATCACTAAGATATTTGGATCAGCTGCTCCTCTTAATTTAACAATGACTGTTAAAAGTGAGCCGTATTTGATTCCGTAATCTTTCAATAGCTTGTCATCATCGTTCAGCTCAGTACCCTCAAATATGAGCACTATGTTGTTAACATCATAATCTTGATATTCTTCAAATCCTTTACACTTGAATACAGTCCACTTCAACGCATAGATTGTAGCTCTTGGATCTATGGAATACTTGTAAGATTGGCCGTTGAGGAATTGAACTGTGATGATTGTGATCAAATCTGGGGATAGCAATCTCATGCTCATCGTTTTATCAAACGGTATAACTAGCATTGGATCAGGCTTTGGTCTACTCTCCACAATCACGTTCTGACTCATCAGCTGGTACGTTAGTGGAATTATCTTGTATGTAAGCTGCTGCCGTTGCTTCAATGTTGCATACAGTGGATCATCTTTAGTAATGACTTTACTCCCTGGTATTAGACTGGTTAATGCAGCTGCTACTAGCTCAAGACGATCATTGGAAGAAGAAGAAGTTACTGCCATTTTGAGATACTACAGTACTTATTGCTGGCAGCAGTTAGATATTCTTGAAGGATTGTCAGGATCACTAGCTAGTTTGGTATGCAGAGGAGGAACTTGGACTAATAACTAAGTCAATGGTCCAGAGATACTAGTAGTGACTGTATTAGTACTGTTATGATATATGACAGTACAGAGAAGTTATTGGGTGTCATCTAATGGTGGCTTTATCTGCCAACTTGTAGTACTACTTTTGACTTTTTATGACATCTCTTGTCAGGCAATTTATCATCACTATAACTTTATTATTATAACAGAATAGCTAATTGAAATTTAGTTACCAACAATTATATTTTTTACATTACATTACATAATCCTGTATCTTAATCACTCTTCTTTTTATAACTTAGTATAATGATAATGATTATGTTTTATTAATCAATAGGAAGAAGCTCAGTGCTGTTCATGTTAAAACATTAAAAATGTCAGAAGACGTCCTCTGCCTCAAATACAGGTGAGGATTGGTGGGTGTGGCTAGTTATTAAGTTTCCACCCATAGTCCTAACGATAAGTTCCTTGCTCTGTCGTTACTGGATTCAACTGTGAAGCTGTTCTTTGCTGATTCACTAAAAGTAAGTGTCCTCTATTTATAGAATAGTTTATAATGATGTAATGTTACTATTTTTAGTTTTATCTCTCCTTATATGGTCATAAACTACCTGTACTTGGAATGGACATATCAAGTGTAAGTTAATTAATATTAATTAACTATACAGTATAGCCTCTCTTAATGGACACTCTCTATAGCGTACACCTCCATTTAACGGACAGCACCTAGTGTACCAATTACATTCCTTACTGTATAAAATAACCTCCACCTAAAGGACACCTCTGTTTAACAGAGACACTTTCAAAGTGTCCATTATATAGAGGCTAGTCTGTACATGTACATGTAGTGACCAGCCTGTCTGGACTCTGGAGGTGTGTGTGTGTGTGTAAGTAATGCAATACCTGAGGACTGAGATATCTGTATATACAGTTCTTGTATCCTCTCTGCAGGACAGTAGTCTACTGGTGACTGGTTCTGCTGATAAGAATATTCGTATTTGGGGAACTGATTTTGGTGACTGTCACAAGTCAATATTTGGGCACACTGACAGTATCATGGACGTGAAGGTAGTCATTTTAACTTTTAATTGTGTGTGGATTTAATGAGAGATCTTTAAATTAATAAATTAACCTTACGTTTAGTGTGAATCAACATTTAAGAGTAACTCATTAAATGGGTGTGGCATAATAATTATTAATATTCATTATTATTATTATTATTATTATTAGTTTGTTCCTGGTACTCACTTGTGTTTCTCCATCAGTAAGGACAGGACACTGAAACAATGGGACTGTGACAACTTTGAACTGATACAAACACTTAAAGTTAATAAATTGTTTATTAATTAATTGTTTATTTATTTATTCTTGTAGGGCCATCAGTCTGAGATATGGTCACTAGTTGTATCTAATGATGGAAACACTGCAGTAAGTGACTGTACATGTACGTATGTATCGGGAATTGTAATAAAAATTTGGGGTCATTTCGGAGCCATTTCTTGAAAAAACCATGGGCTATAGCCTTAGGTATTTTTAAAAAATTGGCCAATTTTTTAAAATGGCTGTAATTAAAAAAATATTTGTCAGAATCAGCTCAAACTTTATACACAGTATAAGGACATCAATATGTATCAGAAAATGTAATAAAAATTTGGGGTGATTTCGGAGCCATTTTTCTGAAAAAACCATGGGCTATTATAGCCTTGGTTATTTTTCAAAAATCTGCCAATTTCTTTAAATGACCATAACTCGAAAATTCCTTGTCAGAATCGACTCAAACTTTCTACACAGTATTAAGACATCAATATGTATCAGAAAATGTAATAAAAATTTGGGGTCATTTCGGAGCCATTTTTTTGAAAAACCATGGGCTATATATATAGCCTTGGGTATTTTTCAAAAATTGGCCGATTTCTTAAAATGGCCATAACTTGAAATTTTTTTGTCAAAATCAGCTCAAACTTTCTACACAGTATAAAGACATTAATATGTATTAGAAAATGTAATAAAAATGGAGAATTCTCTTCTTTTTAATTTTGGCGAACTAAAGTCCCTGTACTATAGTACAGGGATTTTAGTCCAATTTTGAGCTATTTTAAAAGTTTGTAAAAAATTTAAACTTGATTGGAATCAGTTCAAACTTTCTACGCAACATAAGAACATGTACGTATCAGAAAATGGAATACCTTATACCGGTTTATTTTTGTGGTGGAAATTTTTGCGAATTTTGCATTTCTATGATTTTGCGGGATTAATTTTCGCGAATGGCTTGCAGTCTGCACACATGGCAATGGAGAGCAGAATTTTGCAATGAAAAATTTTCGCAACTGATCACAAGCCATGAAATTTGCGAAAATATTTTACCACGAAAATAAACCGGTATACGGCATTCTATTAATAATTCCTTCACTCCGTTAGGTGACTGGGTCACATGACCTCTCTATTAGGACGTGGGGCTGCACTCAAGAGCCACTAGTGCTGTCAGAAGAAAAGGAAAATGTAAACCACGCCCACATAATTAATTAAATCAACATCCGCCATAAAACCGAATCATTTTATTTTATTTTTCAGGAAAGAGAAATGGAATTTGAGAAGTCACTAACAGAAGGAGCAACTGAACCAGTGGTAAGAGTATAATGGAGTATGATGATTATTTTGAGAAGAATAGTTTTGAGAATCCTTACAAAATTACTTTATTTGTAGATTAAATTTTTGCAGTTTGTCATTCATAAAATTTTATTATTTGCAAGTTTAAATTTTGAGTTTTTTTGTGCACTTGCAAATACCAAACATAATAATACTCCACAATATAATGACCTCCTATACTACTCTACATGTATATACTGTATACTGTGTGTATTGTTACTGGTCCCTCCATTAGGTGCCAGGGGAGAAGGGGAAAGGAGAAGTGGAACTGGCCAGTAGGAGGACAGCAGGGACTATTGGATCAGTGAGTGACCACACCCACTTAATTAATTAATTATTAATAGGCGGAGCGACTGATGGAAGGGCTGGAGTTATGGAGAGAAGAAGAACTGAAAATGAAAGAATATAATGAAGAATGTAATATAACAGGAACAAAAGTAATCAGTATACATGTATATGTATGAATGATGATAATAAATGAATAATCATTTACTAATTTAATTAATAAATAATTATTTATTTATTATTATTAGTTGGCTCCTCCTCCTCCAAACCCAATTTTAAAAGTTCTTGGGAACCAAATGGTAAGTTAATAATTAATAATAATTATTAACCCTCTCCTCCCTACAGCCTGATGAATATGTTCTTAATATTTTAAAGCAAATACGTTCAAGGTATTAGTATACTCCACCCACTCATTTAATTAATAATTATCGTCATAGCGACCTTGAGGGGTCCCTCCTGTTGCTGCCATTCAATGAAGTTATTGATTTACTTAAAGTGAGTGTGATCTGGTCTCAGAAGCAACTGGAGGTGGAGCTGGTGGGACGAACTGTTCTCTTCCTTTTAAGGTAATGAAGACATTTTAATTAAGTGTGCTATACCAACTTATGTATATGTATCAGGAAATGTAATAAAATGGAGAGTTCTCTCCTTTTCAATTTTGGCAAAATTAACTAAACAATACATGTCATGTAGAGTGACTGTAGGACTAGGAGGTCATTGACTACTGTACAAGATGATTTATTGGCAGGGAATCAATATTGGTGAGGAATTAATATTGGTGAATGGTAGTTTTATGAAGATATTTCCAATATAAATTCCGCCATTTTGTTTCAATCTGAGCATGCTCAATGGACAGAATTGCCAATATAAAATTCTCCAGTAACTTTCCACAGGAAAATTTACCAAATATTACTCTCGCCAATAAATTGTCTGGTATGGTATGCTAATAATTAGACGTAAAGAATACTATTTGACCCTTTTACCACACCCCTTGAATTAGATAAGTAGATCTAATTAAATAGTTAATAAAATCTAATTTGACATGAGTTATAATAGTAATAGTACAATTGCACACAGGAAGAGGTAGGATTACACAATAGTGACGATACTAATCATACCTTATTACCACTAGTCCGTCTTATAACTGCTCAGTGTGTACTGTAAACTAACAGGACTGCTTACTAATAGTCTGACTGCCCTTAAAACCTGCTACTACCCTCTACAAGAATAATGGACCATTTTAGTAAGGAAGAGCTTTCATTCGTTAATAAATAGCTGCATATTCCATGAGTATCCTTTATTACCGGTTGATGTTGATGAAGAAGTTGGGGCAGTTCATTTATATGCGAGTGCATGTGGTCGACACATGTCAGCTAGACTGATGA